GCTTCCTCCCACAAGGTCCAAAAACATGTTGAGGTTAATTGGTGATTCTAAATTGTCCGTAGGTGTGAATGTGAGTGTGCTTGGTTGTCCTGTGATAGCCTGGCATCCTATCCAGGGTGTCCCCTGCCTTCGCCCTGAGTCAGCTGGGATAGACTCCAGCTCCCCACGACCCTAGTGAGGATTAAGTGGTATGTAGATGATGGACGGATTAAAGGGTAACTGCGTGTTTTGGTAGGTTCAGTATAACACATAATATAACCCTGTCGTAGCTCAGGAGGGAGCTGCACAAAATCTGATGGAGGTCCTCAAGGGGCGTCACTTGAGTCGGCATCAGTTGGGGCAGAAGCAGGGGGTAATTTGATATCCAAATCACATCCTGTCACAACTTGGCTCTCTCTCCTTCATTATCGCAGCACGACACAGTCGCATACATCTCTTGGAATCTGACTTCAGACATTGTGTCGCGCCGAACAAACAAATGTAGAACGTCGACTTCTTTTCTTTGGCTGTGTTAAGCAGCAGCTGTAGCTTCACACAGGAGCAGGACTGATCTGATCTGAGAGCCGCACAGCAGGTGACCCCAATGAATATTTTAACCATCTGACATGTCGTCGTGATCTCACAGAGCGATATTAACCTAAATTGGTTTTCTACAAGCAAACAGCTGAGCCGCTTCTCAGACTCACACTTTGTACGGTGCAGTCACTGAGTCTAGCTCAGGATGAATCCGGCACCGTCAGAGTTGTTGATAAATTTTTATTTTCCGCAATTATCGTTTCCTCTGGAGAAGCCTTTTAGACGGATGGAGTATATTACAATGGAACATTTTCATTTTCGGTGCCTGAATGCAATAATGTTTGCAGAAGTGGCATCACTGCAAGCTTGAATTGATCTAATCGCTTAAAAAATAAGGCAGGAGACGGCCCACGACGCACAATTTATTATCCTCGGCCTGTGATTTACTGTAAATAGTTTAGCCGAGCCCCAGCAAAGATATGTCTAATTTTATGAAGGCAGTCAGTTTGTCCTAAACCGTAAATTCAATTCAGATGATAATAATAAAAACTGCTCTGCTGCTGCATGTGCTTGGCTTTAGGCTTATATAAGTGGGGAGATTGAGTTGTCGTCCTTTGGTACTTCAGAGTTCTGCAGGTGAAGAAACTTTTTTATTTCTTCAAATTCATCCAAATTAAAAGTATACAGAAAGTATACCAACAAAGTAAAACTAAAATGAGAATGCTGTGGCTTCTCCCCAGTGACATGTGGCTATTTAGACAATTAGACGGAATCTGAGACATTCGAATGGAGTTTAGTTTGTGGTACAAAACAATCTGCAACAAAACTTGTTCCGAATACGAACAGGTTGAGTTTTAACTGAAACTACTTTCTACTGAAGAATTCATCCAGTTTTCTTCTGGACTGTGGCCCATGACTGGAAGAAAGAGTTGTACTGTTTCGATCGCTTTAATTTAAAGATATATATATAATGCAATGTACCATGTAGAGGTCCAATCAGATAGGTGTTCATGTATAACAGCGGGTGAAATGAATCAAGAGGAAGGACACATGCTGGGGAAAGTGGCTGACATGTAAATTAGTAAATATATATAGACCTTCTCCATGTGTACGTGAGGGCTTTTCTGGGCATTTTGGCTTTTTATCCACATACATTTAGATCCCCCCAAAAAAACCAAACAGACCTTTTGGAAGACTACATTAAGGGAAAATAATGGTACAGGCACCTGTGTTTGCTTCCTTATTGGTTCTTATCAGTCACTATGAGTCCTTCCCTGATTCATCGGCCTCTGATCATGTGACTCGCCGACTAAGAAACCAACCCTCTGCTTCTTGTTCCACTGTACTCTATGAGAACGGTCCAGTTGGATACATTTTCATTAGGGGTGTGAATCTCTACCTTAAGAGGCGATCTGATACGATTCTTGATACACGGATTACGATACGACTCACTTCGGATACGTTACGATGCGATTCGATGCGATGCAACTTGAACTATTTGTGTGGTAGAACGCCAAACATGTATTTTTACCACTGGATGACATAACTTGGAATCCTCTCACCGAACTTGAAAAATATGTGTTTTTTTAAATTTTATTTCAGTCAGCACATTTCGTTTTGCTGTCTGTAGATGATATTGACATGGATATAGACTTTAGTATCGAGTGATGTTTATGTTTTTTGACGTGGTCTTCTTCATGTAGTATCTTTGTCTTCACAAGCATGCACGTCTTTTCGTGACGAATCTGCGAACGGAACATCTGGAGCATAAATACAGCATCACCAGTTAAACTGGAGCACCGATGCTGTTGTGTTGTTGTTGCTAACAAACACGTTAAGCGAATGTTACTCTCGTAAGAGACTGGAGCGTCCATATTTAGTAGCAGAGCTCCAATCAACCGATTCATAACTTTACAACCGGACATCAACCGCTTCACCGTAGATATAGATCGACCCAAAGGCCCGCCGATCGATGTGTTCATATCGTTAAAGTTAAAATCGGTTCGTATCGGTGAATCTTTACACCACTTATTTTCATGTGTGTTTGCTTGGAGCTTGTTTCTAAAACGCTCGTCTGGAGGGGGATCATTTTGGTCCAAAACATATCAGTATATGAGGTAGCTATAGTTTAACAGCTAATTCGTGCATGTGTCACTCACTGACCATCACGTAATCCTCTGTCACCCCCAGTCAATGCACCAGAGTTCAGACCTCCACCAAACTTTTAGGGCGAACTCAACGTGGAGTCTTTGAAAGACAGGATTCTGACCAGATTTAATGGATCAGACCAAACAGGACGTTTGCACCAGAGTTCATTTAAGGCAGACTAATTCGATTAAATGTGTCTGGTCTTCGACAGCGGGAGCCTTCCTGGAGGTGAGCTCATCCCCTTCAATGATATTTATTGTTTGAACACTCAGTGATATTTGCTCTGCTGTCTACCATGGTAATATCAGCCATTGCTTTTTTCTCGCACAAAGATTAATAGTGCGGTCCCTGAGCTTGTCTTTTTGAAAGATATTTATGGGCATTTCCATCACCAGGGAAGACCAATGTCCCAGGGCTACCCAAAATGCATCTGCTCTGATTTAACTGTCACTGGTCTGGAGGTGGACCCCTGGCTCGGCCTCCTCTACTCCTCAGATTGGTTTAGACCTTCTCTAATGCAGCGATCCATCAGACGGAGCCGTCTGTCTGCTTTACTTACTGAAGACAGAGTTGTTTCAAGAAGGCAGCGTCTCTCCATCATCAGCGCAGATATGAGAGCGTGTTTGAAATTAATTATGCAGATTGATGATCTTGACTTGTTATAAGTGGCGAATATTTATAGCCAGTGCCCCGAAGTGAAGGTGATGCGAGATTGAAGAGGGAAGGAGGGAGGAGGGAGGAGGAGGAGGAACGCCGTCAAAGCAGGATTACAAAAAGATCACAATCTGAAACTACAGTACACACAACGAGGAGGGACGGACAACACAGTTCTACAGATATTTAAAAATACAAAACAGGAAGTCAGTGGGGAGCGGCGGATCTCCAGCACAACCTTTTTTCCGCGGCCTCGGAAACCAGAAACTGCTCTAGATTCTTTTTAGGCCACCACAGAGACCCGTGGCTGTTCATAGCTCTCCATCCTGTCCCTCCTATTACTGACACAGTTAGTAAAGCCCACAGTGAGAGGCCATCAACCTGTCTTTTATAACACCACATTGTTGTGCGCGTGCTAAAAATACAACCAACCCAGAAAGAAAAGGCCCCGATGAATGACAAGCACGAACCGACTGCAGCGGTGAGATATTGCACGTCGAGAGATGACACTCGCTCATCTTTCGGTGAACTTCAGAGTGGTGAGACACACACACACACACACACACACACACTCTCACACACACACATACATGAGCATATGACTTGTGATGGTTGCCATAGCGATCTCCCTGAGGCACAACGCAATTTTTGGAGTAACTGCTGCGAGCAACAGAAGTGGCTCAGAATTACTGCTTTGATCAAATAGAAACAGTCTTGTGAAGGCCAGGAATTGTTTGAATAGATTTCGAGCGGAATAGATTTTCCACCGCGTGTCAGTTTTCCACACTTCTAACCGCTCGGTGCTCCGAATTGGGCAGCGGAGCGAAGCGGCGTCGTCCCTCTGATGTTTCTGTTATTTTATTTTATTTTATTTGTTGACCCTGTTTGCTCCGGTGCTGCACGCTTGTCCCGATGTACACATATACCGCCGAACAGGATTTTCCTCTGTCCGGCTGGAGCGTGATGACATATGGAAAAACAGGGCTTTGCTTTTGCTTGTTGCAGGATTTTTCTTTTTAGTCTCTCCTGAGCCTCTGCAGTTGGTTTACTGTTTGCTTCAGCCGCTGACCCTGTTCCCTGCTGCATCACGCTGCTGTTTTCAGCACCAGAGCTCTGATAAACCTGACAGACAAAGTTAGTAACCAGCTGAGGGTGAAAATTAAATGTCAGCAAGAGACAGATTAATTATTTTTCTGACACACAGCTTGTCAATCTGTGGGCTTTTTTTCTTCAAATCAAATCTAAAAGAAGACAAATCAGCTCACATAATGTTTGCTAAATGTGGTGAAGTAGACTCCAGCTGGAACTACAATAACACGCCGACGGTATACGTCTGTGAGCTCGTCTATAAGCTCACTGGAGGTTGAGAAAATCTTAATGCAGCTGAAACATGGACCCCTCCAACAACTGACCTCAGTAACAAATGTGAGAACCACCCAACAAATCGGTTAAGGCTGGTGTCAGCATCAAAGTAAAGGTCGGAGTGAGTAATGGTTCCACCCACCAGCTTGTTCGCAGCCTCTGACTTCATGCTACGAAGGAGGATTTCTCAGTATGGGAGAACACATAAAGCCTCAGCTGTTTGGTGTTGAGCAACAACAAGTGCTTTAACAGACACGTACCTGTTCCGAGGTACAGGACGCTGTAGTGCTCGTCGTTGACGGCCATGACGATGTCGGCCACCGTGTGCGTGATCTGATCGTCCGTGGGGAGGTCGAGCGGAGCCACGCCGACGGGCCGGATCACGTCTTCAATTTCTGGATGGTATCTGATCACCCCCAAGTTTTTGATGTTGTTCTGACCTTCCGCCGTCGCCGGGTTTTTGCGGACGCACTGCGGGGAAAGAGTGATGTAATCGATTCAGAGCAGGCCGGGCGATTGAATAAACAAAACGCCCTTGGACAAAGGGCTCAAAATTGCTTCTCTTTTATTAACTGGGGCCTTTCAAAAATAGCACTTCAATCTTTTCGCCTCTGAAATATGGGCTGACTCATGGATTCGTGCACGTTTTTGTAGCACTGTGACTGAATAGAAAAGACAAAAGAAAATAAAAAATCTTGCTGGTTTATCTTACCATCCCAGGGCGACTGCCCATGAATGGACTGCTGTAGCCTTTCAGTTTAGACGTGGAGAAGGCCTGGTCAATATCTTCGATGGAGTAGGCACAGACCACCGTTCTGCCCCTGAGCAAAGGAAAAGAGCAATTACATCCGCAATAAAAGCAAAGGCAAATGGTTGTAAGGGACGAGCATCAGTAAGAAGATTCTCATCATTGCCAGTAGATAATCTGTGGATATCTACATGTGAGGCTCATGTGTTACCAACAAAACAAAATACTGTAACCATAGGACAAATTCACGTATACCTTTGGTCTTCTCTCCTTTTGAAAATAGTTTAACTTATATTTTTCAGGTTCACAATTGCAACTCTTTTGCTTTAACTTTCACTAAAAGTGAGTTTCGCTCACTGCCGTGAATCTACACTCATAGTCAGGACAGAAGTCTTGTGTATATTCAGCGCCCGCCATAATTATTGGTTAAGATGTGTTCTTTAGCTTCTAGTAAATTCAGTTTTTTTCTAAATAATATAGGACCACAATGAAAAAAAGAGGAACATTCAACCTTTAATTCAAGTGCATTTATTCAGTGTGAAAAAAATCCCACATTAAAAAATAAATCTTTTGCATCAAATCATGTGAGCCACAATTATGAGCACCCTTAACGTTAATTCTTTGTACAACCCCCCTTTTGCCAACAGTTCATTTGAGTTGAGTTGAAGGTTGCATTTTTCTACAATGTTCAGTGTGAAAGTATGCTTCTGCAACAAAAATTGAGTTTATTTTAAGGCTTTTAACACATCTTAACCAGGGATGCCAATAACTATGGAGGGCGCTGTATCTAATACTTTTTTTTTTAATGCTCTATTGCTCGTTCTGTTTGTTTGTATGTTATTGTAGAGGTTTGTCTGAATAACATTACAGGGGCGCTGCGTCTTCATACTCCCGGCCATGTTCTTACATGCTGCCGTACAACATGCAATCTTCACAAAAACGATCTTGAAACTATCCCAGCACCATCACAAGACAACGTATCTGATCATCAAAAACGTTATAATGACTCCAGCATAGTCCGATTGTGGTAGATACACCGTTAGACGGCGCAATAAACAATCGATAGTGGTGTTTTCCATGCCGAGGTGCCATATTGTTTTGGTGTTAGCTGCTCTTGTGAGATTTCATATAGGCTACATCCAAGCTCAGCTGACCTACACAGCGAGATTTCTCAAGACTGAATGACCTTTCACCCACATGTATGATAAGGTCCATGACATTGTGTTATACTCAGGTTGGTGTACATGATAGGGTCTTGCTCCCTGGTTAAAGTACATGTATGCGTATCATGGTGTACAAGCATGTAAGAACCTTCCAAGTACTAGTCATTAGAAGTTGTGCCAGTACTAGTATTTGTCATGTTTTCATTTACAGAGTACAGTCATATTACAGTTCTAACCAAACAACAGTTGCTCAACAGTTGATAATGTCTTGATTTCTGAAGTTTCATGAGCTAAAATGTCTCTCTCAGATCGCCTCAGAATGTCTCATTTAAGCTTCAGTTTTTTAAAGGCTTCGCACCGTCCATCCCCCCCCTCGGTGATTTCGTTCCCTCGACACAGTGTGCTCCCTCATACACTTTTTTATTTCCTCCTGTTATTGTGTGTATGCTTTAATGCCGGACTGCAGATGAAATTAACTTTAGGCAAACTCGTGGTGAAAAATGCACTTTCTCAGAGCAGAGGTCTGTTAAACTTAGTCCTGACTGCATTCCAATGAATCTCTCTTTTGTTTGCACGAAATGAGGCCACATGACTTCACAACTCTCAATTACATATGACAAATATATATAAATATAAAAGAAAACAGCCCCAAAATCAAACTCCTATGAGGCTGACCTGTAAACCACAGCTCATATAGGACAAAAAGAAACATGCGCGTATTTCAGTTTGCAAACTTGACTTGTATTTTGAAATTTAAATTGAGCCGATAATACATTTAATATTAGATTTCTTTCCCCCTCCTTTGCAGATAATCACAAAACGTTCTGTTCTTGTATTATCATGTGTGTGACAGCTCATATCGCCGGAGCGTGATTTGCATGCTCGGTGAAAATCATCCGACGAGATTGTGAATCCAACAGAAAACCCGCCGTTACAGATAAATAGAAATAGAAACCGACACTGACAAAGGCAACCGTGTGGTATGTGCTGTGTACTGCTGTGTGGGTGGACAAGTGTCAGTTATTCTTAAGTTTTGTGTTGGCTGTTTGTTGTGTTATCAGTTTGTCTCTTTGTGTTATTTGAATGTTCTGTTTTCCCTGATCCTCGGCGCACTCTTATGCATCTCTGAAAACAAGTAAATACTGAGTTTATTGAAGTCAAAGCGGGTCGTTGGATAATCCGTTTCCCGCACGGCGCAGATCCCTGTAAAAGCTTCCGTTTTTAATGCGAGCTGTGAGGGGTTCGAGTCGTCGTTCAGGCCTCACCATGCGTTAGAGAAGAGGCCGTACAGGACCCCGGCCCTCTTGTCCTGAGCGGTCAGCACCACTGCCTGCTTCATGTTGTTGTACTGCTGCTGGGTGTTTCCTGCGCCGCACATCACCCGCGCCTTCATGAAGGTGGTCCAGGAGTCCGCCAGCAGGGCTCTGATGCCCCCTTCGTCCACCTGGAGGTGACACACAAGGAAGTCATAACAGGGGGAAGCTCAGGCTGCCAAACTGATTAGAATTTAGCTCTGCCAAGATGCGACGCCGTCCCCTGACCCAGAGCACCAAGACTCCCTTTCCTCTCTCTTTGCTGTTTTGGAAAAAGACTTTCAGAGCTTTCAGTTTACCGATTGGTTCGAGGTAACTTAATTTAGCACAAAGACTGTAGGCAGGTGGAAACAGTTTTATTAAAGATGCCCTCAACGACTCCAAATCTGTTTTAAATGCACGCTGTGTGTTTAGCAAAGTAGGACACCAGACATAGTGTGTGTGAGAGAATACTCTGCAAGGGAGGTACTCATTGGAAAACAAAGCAAGTCTGGCACTGCTATAGGTCCAAGATACTCCAAAGCTGTCGTATTTACAAGTCATCATGTGTTATACATGTGTGGAAATGGATCAACAAGCTTTCGAAACAAGCTACCGCCTCATCCAGGAAACGATAATCTCATCACCCCTCGTCGTCACGTGCCGGCTTTACACACTTTCCCAACTCTTAACAAAAGCCATTTTATTCTTGGTTGCGCTCGTGATTAAGTACAACAAGATAAAACGATGTATATCTTTCGCCTCTTGACTGATGATAGCAATTTCCCTGCTTCTGTTTTCTGATGTAAACTATAACTAAACATGCCCTGGATCTCTCCCTCTCTCTCTCTCTCTCTCTGTCTCTCTCTCCCTATATCGAACAAACAGAGATGTAAAAGATATTGATCGTCTCATCTACCTCCTGGTAAGAGAGCAAAGATGTATAAACCCAAAAAAAAAGCTTCATTAGCGAATACCACAAATGATGCCTGAGATGGATGAGCCGTCACTTCACGTGAAACTTTTCTGATCCAACCGTTCATCATTTCATTTGAGTCTCTTTAGTTTGGAGATTCACTTCAGGATGATTTTAGAGGGCAGGTCATGAATCACGCGCAGGAGCAGGTGTTTTGCCTTTGACAGCTAATTAGGAAACACCTGCTTTGACAAGGCTGATTGGAAGGATTTATGAAGAGCAACACTCTCACGGGTTTGCTCCTGAAGCACTGAAGCAGCTCTTGTCAATCCTACAATTTTGTACTCAGCCCAAAAGACCATAGTAGGAAGGAAATGTATAGAAAATGTAATGTGGAAAGAGAGAATACGAAGGCAGTAGGAGGTCTTGTGTTATTCACATCCAATTCTTCAGCAACAGTTTCTCTACAAAAATCTATTCGCATGAGACGGTCTGAGAAAAAGCAAAGCCGTCTCTGAACTCCGACATGTGCGATGTGATGAAAGCTGGATAAAGTAGAAACAGGCTGGGAGCCACCACTTCAAACGAATGCAAACAGTTGAACTCAACCATGTATGAATGCTGATTAACCACAACATTAAAACCACCGATACTGTGAATGACTGATCTTTTCATGACAGTGCAGTGTTCTGTTGGGGAACCCTGCCATTCAAGTTGATGGGGTTGCTTTGACATGAATCACCCACCAAAATACTGGGGCAGAATAAGCACCTCCCCCATGGAAACAGGGCCTTCCTAGCAAGACGGTGCTTGAGGAACACAACCAAGAGCCCCAAGAGTTCTAAACTACCCAGATTTCAATCTAATTGAGTATCTGTGGAATCTGGATCATAACCCTGCAACCCACAGAACCTTAAAGGTCCAACGTTCTGGTGCCATACGCCACAGGACGCCCCTACAGGTTCATACTCTGATAGGTTCCACCTGTTTTGGCAATTTTAAGCGGGTGGTTTTGATGTTGTTGGGGCTACGAGTTGGCTAGGTGGTTAGCATCGTTGCCTCACAGCTAGAAGATCCCCAGTTTGGACACCCGGGATCTTTTTGTGTAGAGTTCTCCCCGGGTTCTCCGGCTTCCTTCCACATCCAGAAACATGCTGAGGTTAATTGGTGATTCTAAATTGTCCGTAGGTGTGAATGTGAGTGTGCTTGGTTGTCTGTCTCTAAGTGTAGCCCTGTGATAGACTGGTTACCTGTCCAGGTGAACCTGCCTTCACTATGAGTCAGCTGAGATAGACTCCAGCCTCCCATGACCCTAGTGAGGATTTAGTGGTGTATAGATGATGGCTGGATGGGATGGTTCTTATGTTCTATGGTACATAGAAGCATATGGTTCTATATAGAGCCCTAATGAAAGGTGGATATAATCCCTTCTCTACAGAAAGCACATAGACTGCTATAGACTAAATTAAATGAGAAATCTGAAAAAAGTCAGCGGGGATAGACTCCAGCCCCCCACGACCCCGGTGAGGATTAAGCGGTGTATAGATAATGGTTTTGATGTTGTGGCTGATGGGTAGTTGTGGGATGTTACCGTGCAGATTCGGCCAATGCGGGCCCGGTACGGCTCCTCGTCCACTCTGGCCGACTTGTTGAACTCACTGAAGAAGAAGTAGATCTCCTCTTTGAACTTCTCTGCAGACGGGATAATGGCCGCACCAGCAAACTGCGGATCTGGCGACGACATTCAAACGCATCCATTGAAATATTATCATCTTATTTAGAGATTTACTTCACAGAAGCTTCTTGGATCGGCACGTGCAGCCTCATGTCGTGATTTTAACTCATTTAATAATCTGACATTACAAAGGACATTTCGAGACTCAACGGGCGCTTACATGACTGATCACTGCGGATGTGTTTCTGACAGTGACAGTGAATACGCCTACGTGTCCTCTCCCATGGGAATCATAGTAGATGATTTACAGAGAGTACCACCCACATCTCCATATGCATTAGTCTAAACCTGTACGGTCTCTGCGTGACTCCCCTCCTCCTACTCACTCAGCAGCCAAACGTTCTCGGTCTTCAGGAGTTTCTGGGGGCCAAACGTTCGCCGGATCGAGCCGGCGGAGCCTCCCACCGACGACATAGCAGAGTACAGGCTCCCATCTGAGACGGCGAGAAAGAAAAGACGGACAAGAGAGGAGAGGGTGAGCAGCGGGTACAACCAAAAAAAGAAAAAGAAAGAGAAGGCACACAGTGAGCTTGATGGATTGGTACAAGGCTGAGCGAGAGAGGAAGGGAGATTGGAGCGACACCAGAAGGGAAATGACTGAGGCTAGAGGAGAGGAGGACACAGAAAGGAGAACATTAAATACAGAGCAGGAGAAGTGGGGGGAGAAAAAAAGAGGAGGCCCAGGCGGACAAAGACAGAATAACAAAACGTGGAGGAGAGCAAGAGCAAAGAAGACATCAAGGAAGAATAGCTCGGCGCACCGGCGAGCAGCCACCAATCACCATATCCTCAGAACCTCACTAAGAGCTCTGTCTTCATAGCAATGCAGAGGGGGAAGCATTTGAAATCGTGGCAGTAACATCTTAATTGGGACTGATCGTTATTTGAATGCCGCTCGGCTCAGGCGGAGGGCCGGCTCGTTGCCTCCGCGATCGATCCCCATCCAGAGGAGCGTCCTGCAGCGCGAGCTAACCCCTCACTGATCCCAGCGCCTCCTCAGACAATCCATCCACATTAACGCCCGCCGTATATAACAAACAGACAACCTGCGCGCCCCCTCGTCAAGCGCGATGACTACTGAAAGGTTGGTTTAATTAGAAACATCTCCATTTAGTTAATGAGACGCGCTGCTTGATAATCACACGATTAGAAGTTTGGTTCCCGGCGGAGTCGAGCGAGGCGTTAATGGCCCCGTGTTGCAACCTCGTGAAACCGGCGACTTATGACGCCAACGTCTGGATTTTATTCGGTAGAACTGGATGTGCCAAACATACTGTTTAATTAACGTGTGTTTTGAAGGTATGCGCCAAGCCGTCATGACTGCTTTGAATGAAGATAGTTAAGATAATTGGAGGAAAACGATAAATATCTTGTTGACAGACGAAGCTGGAGCATACCAGACAGTCGGTGGTGTTTGGATGTTGAGACGAGGCCAGATATTGAGTTTTCTCAGATATATCTCTGCACTAGGGAGAAACAGAAGTAAACAAAACCAGTGGAACATATACATAGATGTATGATCCCGTTTTTACTCTTTCATATATACTGCCTTTACTTTCAACCCTTATCTTGATGATTATGAAGCGAGACATGCACGCTGTTTTTTCTTTCTTTTTTTCAGAACAGTCTAGACCAGGAGTTCTCAACTGGTCTCACCCTGGGACCCACATGTTCCCATGGTCATTAAGTCACGACCCTTTTGTTTTTTTTAGAATTCAGTATTCAATATATTTTCCTGTGCAACGTGCATTTCAGAGCATATAAGCATGCACAGTAACTGGACCATGACAACTGCATGAACAAAACTGAATAAAATAAAAACGGGCACAAAACAACATGTTTTCACTCCATTTTGAGCAGATTAATAAGAAACTAAGGAGGACCATGACAACCGCATGTACAAATGTGAATAAAATAAATATCAAACTACTCGAAAATAAAGTTTTGGTCTAATCAGGTCATTTGTTGAAGCTTGTTATTCGAACAGGGGTGATATCCTGATTCCAGCACAGCGAACAAATAGTCGGCTATTAGGCTATTCGGGTCCAGCCCTAGTATGAAAATCAACATTTTAAATGCTCCGGGTCATATTTTTGCCATCTTGCATCTCAACATCAACACAAACTTAAAACGAACGTCAAACAAACTGTGGTTACCGTGCCTGTCAAAATAAAACATTTTTCAAAATAAAAAATAAGTCCAACCTGAGACGCACATGATATATTATTTAATTTTGACCAGCTGTCCGCAACCCACCCAGAACAGGTCCGTGACCCACTTTTGGGTCGCGACCCACCAGTTGAGAACCCCTGGTCTAGACTATTCAGATCTTTCATCATTTGATATTTTTTTAAACTAGCCTTTATGTCAAGGGAGGAAAATATTTTTGTAATAAAAAGGTGTGTTTTTACTTTGATCTCACCATAAAATGCTACCAGTAGATTTATATTTTATTAATTCTGTATCACAAGCGACCTGCACGAGCTTTTTCACCACAACTTTGAAAAGCCAATCCATTATTTTGTTTGTTTTTCACACAAAGTGGTTGTAATGTCAGCCCTATCTAGGAGAGAATACAGAAATGTCAGAACCAGACAACTGTTGGGGCGCAAACAGAAGCAACTGGTATCATCGGAAAGGGCAAGTTGTGTTTCTGTTTGATGTGCGGCGGTGGGCCAGCGTTAGGAAACAACAGGAGCTTCGTGACTTATTAATAAGGAGCAGGAGAAAGGTGAAGATGGGAGAAGAAATTAGTAAAGATGTTTTCAGAAGTATGATCTCTACTTCTGCATGCACATGTAGGCGACGTACCAAACGTAATTACAACTTCTGTTGTTTCCTCTTATATGATAATAACATATCATTTGATTGCATGAGTTCATGAGTAATTCAAACAACAGCAGTAGATGTGGAGATGAAAGCAGAGCTGCTGCACGTGATTAAAATATGATTAAATTTGACGTAAATGCAAGGCTAGTTTTTATTACTGACGCTTTGACACACTGACTAACAACTAACAGTGTTGGAAAGGTCTTGTCAGGTGGTTATATTTGATATGTTCTACACTTTGCTGCAATAAACAACTAAAGCGAGAAGACGGGATGGTCAGGCAGTTGTGTGAATTTGTCTTGCTCTGTACCAGATCATATATGTCACACCATGAGGGGGTCACACCAATCTGTGTGCCAAAGAGCCACCATCTGCCAGAGTGCATTCACATGGAGATGAAAAAAAATCATGGAAATGTTGTGCAAAATAGCCGCACAACCAGACTCATGAGTATTCAACCAGCCATTTTAACAGATTCCTGGATACTTAAGAGAAGAAATTGGGATGTTAGGGCCATGTAGTGGTCACTTTATGGGATAAATAAAACGTTCAGAACCCTCAGACCCCAGTGGAGGACATTAGTCATTATCCTTGTGGTCCAGTGTTGGTTCTTTTGTTGTTCTTCCTGTGAGGTTTTCAGTTGGACGACAGGGTTCTCACCAGCATCATAACAGTAACAGTCCGTTAATTTCCCAGGCCTGGGATAAATAAAGTATTTTTCTATTCTTTCTATTCTATTCTCTTACGCTGCTGCCTGAAAAAATTCTGCTGCAAATTGGGTCGTTAAGCTGTTTTCGAGGGTACGTATCGGGAAAATATTTAAAAACAAGCACTGATGGAGTTTCACGACCGTCGTCTACGCTGCTATCCACTAGCGTATTCATCGCTAACCATTAGCAGCATTGCACTAATCTAAACGGCAGGAAGTACAAGCATGCATTAGCACCTCGGTGCTGGCCTGAGAGAGAAACAGGTGAACTCTGGCTATGTTAAGATGATGAAAGCCTGTTTTTGTTCTATTTTTAATATGGGGGATAAAATTCAGCTCAGATTTAAAAACCAGGTTATTTACACAATGTCCTGGTTTAAGATCTTGTAGTTTTAATAAACGTTTCTCTCTCTGGCTTCAGGACCTACAACTAAAACCTCAGTTTGTCCTGGCTGAGCTGTAGGCGGTTCGCTGCCATCCATGACTTGATGATGTATGTATGTGTGTGACTTGGTGTATCGTCTTCCATTCATTACTGCGTCTATGGATAGAAGGCGTCGTGTCATCTACGGATTGTAAAACTCTCTGGAACAAATTGTGTCTTTACAATAGCTATAAACTTGGTTGTTGGTTGGTTGTTCAAGTTGTGTAGTGAACTGCATTACTCATTCAATTAAGCCTCCTTGTCCTGAACTCAAACTACAATAATGGATTTGTCCCTAAAATTATTTCTCTACTTTTAATTCTTTGAAAATGATCATGATTCACAAACTCAACATTTACTTTAAACACAAGAACAACTGTCCCGTTAGCGTGTTTTTCACAGCAGATGTTGACCAATTAGCTCGGAGCGTTATCCTCAGTACGAGTAGACGTACGAGATCTTGTTCAACACGGAGTCCGTATGCTCCAGCAAAGTGCTACATGACTTTTTAAAATCTGCTGATGCATCTAACTTGTAGAGGATTGACTCTTTAAAACATTGCGAGGTGCTTGAGATAAAAGCATTTACTCATTTGCATGATGTGAATAGAGGGCGATAATGAGAGAAAGATCGCTCCGGGGAGCCGAGTGTCGCTCGGCTGCTTCTGACACAAAGGAAAGGAAAATATAAAGCGCTCAAGGTGGCTTTGTTCCAAAATAACTTATGTGACAAAGTGACAGCCTTTGAAAAAAAAATAAAAAATGCTTCTGAAATAATGACACTCTTGCCAAATTTGACTAAATGAGACTTCAATCCAAAAAAAAAAATTAAAAATCATACCTAATTACCCCGCAGTTACCTCCATTTATTACTTTCTTAAATAATGATTATTTTCTCGGCGTCACTGTTGGGGATCGGTCATAACATCATTTATGATTCCAAAATCACACAAAGGTAAAAACCGACCACATCAGAGACGTCTGTCGCTTTAATCACAGGCTTCTCTCCAGCTCAGCGTTGGTCACTTTTGATTTAAACCTTTCAAAATCGCTCCAGTTTTGTCCTTTTTCTGAGTAAAGTAAAACAAAACAATCCATCTGAGAGTTTTCTGCAGGGCGTTTGTCCGTCGGCGCCTTTCACAACCGGTCCACATCACAAACGTTATTCACGAGACGGTTTTCTTAGCGTTAAGATAACTGTTGGAAACATCACGGCCTGTGTCATCACTGCAACACTCAGGCAACCTTTTGCCATAATTGGAGGAACACTCGCTAAAGGTTACGCAACAGCTGCGGTCCTGATTAAAAGAAACCGATGGATGAGAAACGGGGAAAACAAACGGCGGAGCCTTCTGCCAAAATCCAACTATTTATTTTTTTCCAAGCGATCCATCAAATGCAACTCGTTTGAGGCCGAAGCCAGCGTCTATAAACACGTCTCGGCAAACCGCTGTAGCCGTTTTCTCGGGGGAAGTCTCGCTGCATTGCTTGAACAGCGTGTCTGTCTTTGCTTTTGTTTGGCACCTGCAAACCGCTGGGCTTCTTCTTTTTTTCTTTTTACCAAGTCGACAGCACTGTATCACGATTCTAATGGCTTCTGAGGAGATTTGATTTTCTCTTGCTGTCGAGGCTGAGTGAAAATCCTGTCGGTTCTGAACTTAAGAGAACATCTTCCTGCTTCATATCATCCAATAATAATAAAAAAAGAAGAAGAGCTTTGAACTACCACTCCTTCACTTTGACTCACATGGGAGCCAATTAGCTCGACTAAGTGCACCTGCAGCTCAGGTTCATCAGCCTCGCTGACAACAGTGAAAGTCCTCTTTGTTCAGGATGTTACAGGTTTTGTTCTTTTCCCTGCTCAGCTGAAAGTACACTTCCAGAGGAGACGTGTAATTTCCCCTCCAGCGTCCCTCTTGAGCTCTTTCTTTACCTGCGGGCAAGGTGATGGACTTCTGGGAGGGGTAGGGTGGTGAGATGTCGGAGGCCGAGGCGATCTGCCCAGCGCCCTGGACGTCGGTCATCACCGTGTCGTTTACCTGCAGAGGAAAAAGTAGAAAGCACCTTAAACACCTTCATCCCAGGCCTGTGTCTGTGTATTATACTCTCTGTTATGTTTCTGTCAGAGCGCGGTTTCAGTTTATCTGCGGGGGAGCGAATTCATTACCGAAACGTCCTCTGCGGCAACAAATAACTCCCGGCTTTCATCTAACCGACGGCAGAAATAAATGAGCAAATAAATAAATGCTAATTGTAATTGATCTTGGGATTGTTCAGACTGGAGTTGAAGCAGAAAAAGTGGAACACACACGTATACTTTAAGGATTTGGTCTTACCAGCATCCAGCACCTGGGGCTGCCGGCGTTCGTCCCGCATACGATGAACGTGTCGTTTACTTTCTGAATGACGGTGATGAAATTATCACACTCCAGCTGTCGGAGAAAATGGAACGTGAGTGAGACAAAAAAAAAAAAAGAGGGACAAAAGCAGAAAATGAGGCGAAAGGGAGAAAAACACACAGATTGGTCGAGGGATTAAAGATTAAAAGAGAGGAAGAACAGAGGAGGGTATGCGAAAACTGATTAGAGAGAAAGAACGACCAAGGGACTGCAACAACACAGAAAAAACACCACAGAAGAAGAAGAAGAGAGGGAAGGTGGGACAGAGAAACAAAGCGAGAGCGCCACACAAAACAGATTACAAGAGGAAAGGAAAGAGAGATTAAAGGGGAGAAACTGGAAGCCGTCCACGCTCGGAACAGTTTTTTGGCAGACGGCACACGGGAGGCTTAGACCTGCAGTACGGCACCGCAATACTCCACACATGCATCACTTATTCATTAAGTACAAAAGAAATGTTACAGGATGGAGGATGGACATGATTCAGTTCTGGTTTTTAGGTTGTAGAATCAAGTTTGTTATCACGACAAAAAAAAAAAGTGCTTTTTATAAGACAACAATCAAATCCCAAATCCAGATAGGTCTCCGGAGACGCTGTGGAGGTGCATAACTAAATTCAAAAACCTCGGCCAGAGCTTGTGTAAGTGTGTGTAGGTGGGTGTGTAGGTGGTTGGATAGGCGGGTGTGTGGGCTGGTTTTTTTTTTTATTTCTTTTCCTTAACTGCAAGTTTTCCCTTCTTGCGAGGAAGCGGTTTTATGTCGCCCGAGCTAAAATGCAAAAGTTATAGCGGGTGAGTTTTAAGTGGCTGGGGTGAGGGTTGCTGCTGTAACGCTATCTGGCAGAATAACATAAAAAAAAAATGTTTGCACCAGTCAAACCAAAGCCCTCTTCAGTAGTTTCATTTCTGACCGGGCAGAAGTTGGCTTTAAGTGTTTTGGACGCTACAGTTATTCGAGAATCTCGGCCAAAGAACTCATGAAAATACCAGCAGAGCGTTCAGAAATATAGAAATCTCTTCCCTGTTTAGTGATGCTGTGCCACACAGTTTACTTCCAACGCCGAGGCTGGAGGGAGGATGGCCATTATGAAGCTACCGGAGTTTATTTTGTGTCACAGACCTGTAGTGACCTCTCCTCGTCGCTGATTAAACCCTTAAACTGGCATATTTTGTCTGTTTTTTTTCCCATAACTATAATCCCTTCCTGTCTTGAAATAGCTTGTATGTAACTCTACACCTGTGTGCACATCCTCCCTCTGTTTCCTCCTGCAGCTGGAGCACACCAGCTCACCCTGCTTGCTGTAAACCTACTCTTCTACTATTCAGTGATATATGTTTGAAGTGAGACTGCACAGTGACTCGGGGGGTTAGCGCCGTCGCCTCACAGCCAGTAGACCTCTGGTTAGTTCATCACCCACCAAAATACTGGTGCAGAATAAGCACATCCCCCATGGAAATAGCACTTACTGACCAAGACAGTGCTCGAGGAACACAACCAAGAGTCCCAGGAGCTCTAAACTACCCAGATTTCAATCTAATTGAGTATCTGTGGAATCTGGATCATAACCCTGCAACCCACAGAACCCTAAAGGTCCAACGTTCTGGTGCCAGACGCCACAGGACACACCAACAGGTTCACACCCTGATTGGTTCCACCTGTTTTGGCAATTTTAAGCAGGTGGTTTTGATGTTGTTGGAGCTGCAAGGTGGCTTGGTGGTTAGCATCGTTGCTAAGGATCTTTCTGCGTGGAGTCTCCATGTTCTCCCCGTGCAGCGTGGGTTCTCTTCGGGTTCTCCGGCTTCCTCCCACACGGTCCAAAAACATGTTGAGGTTAATTGGTGATTCTAAATTGTCCGTAGGTGTGAATGTGAGTGTGCTTGGTTGTCTGTCTCTAAGTGTAGCCCTGTGAAAGTCAGCTGGGATAGACTCCAGCCTCCCATGACCCTAGTGAGGATTAAGCGGTGTATAGATGATTGATGGATGGATGGATGTTCTAGCTGGAGATTGGTGATTGTGTGATTCATGTTGTCAAATCATTGGTTCACTTAATTTTTTTTTATGCTAAAAACCATCAATACTGCAGTAAAAATGCAGCACACAAGTGGAAATGTGGCGTACACAAGGTTTTTGGATTTAGTGATGTATTTCCAGTGTCTCCAGAGAACTATCTGGATTTGTGATTTGATCATTTTCTTTAAAAAATGTGATGAGTTTTTTTAATTTATTTTTTTTTAAACGAACAAACTTGATTGAACGTGTGCGATGCAGAAATGCTTAAATTCAATCCATAAAACTCTCATTAGCTTCAGATACATTTTGGATTGCATTTTTGGCAGGGAATAATGACTATGGATTTTGTCCTCCCCGATCTATCAGGCAGCTCCATCGGTGCTGCAGTGGGAACGCTCAGACTGCTTGTTTCGCTCGTGAGATGTCCTCAAGCGTATAAAGAACACCGTATGGGCATGTTTTATTGACACTTTTTAACACGAACACAGTCTATTCCAGATCTTAAGACCGTGTTTTAAGTGTTCTAACCTTAATCTATAAACTAGCTGCCGTGCAAACCAACATTTATTGGAGACTTGGGACCGACACAGTGTTAAAATGGTGCCAATCTAAGCACGAGGCCCCTGTAATCTAACTTAAACACTGACTTCTCCTGAGTAATCATGGCTTCTCTCAGAATTGAAAGCTCTTCTGGAGACACAGGACATGTTAGACACCTGTCCGAAGGTTGAGTGAAACTGCTGTGGATTCGTAAAAATCATTCACAAAATTGCTCAGATCCCAAACTGGGCGAGAGCTGGATGGGTTAAAGTAAGATTCACTCCATACGAACTGTCTTTTACCGCTTGTGCTTACTGCCTGTGCTCGAGAGGGAGACTGACGGCGAATTGGAAAAACATTCTGGGCTTGTAGTGGCAGTCAGACATCCAATCTGTCTGTTCAATTAGCGACGCCACTTACTGTTCACCTCCCATCTCCATCTCCCCTCGGAGGTAATGTTTTCCACACACTCTGTGGCTGAACGTTTCTGAAAGACGTCGCCTCTTGTCCTTCGTTCCCCTTCACCGGGCTGTTTGGTTTCACTGCATCACTCAGGACTTTCTCATTTTCCACCATCTGTCACTGCCAGACTCTCTGGAAGCTTGAACTCTGGCTGTGCAGGAAAGACGCTGCACCTCTTTGCCTTCCTCTTTAGATGCAGACACACAGTGAAGATATGGGTGGCAACGCAGAAATGGTGGAATTCAAGGCCAATCCATAAAATCCTCATTAGCTTCGGATACATTTTGGATTGCGTTTTTGGCAGAGAGTAATGACTATGGATTTTGTCCCCCATCTATCTTCCTGTGAAAGCTCGTTATGAAGGGATCATTTATTTTCCAGAATGAACAAGAAGAATGAGTCCAACCTGTTCAAACATCATAAAGGTGCCTGCTACTGCTAAAAGGTTCCTCTCTGGTCAATGATTCAACCCCTAAAAACTCATCTTTGTGTTGCATATTTGGACTTTTTGTCCATGAAAAGCATCCCTTCCTGCCTTGAAGTGGCCGTGACGTCGCTCTACAGCATCGAGCCGATCCATAAAGTTGCTGCTGCTGCTCAGGCTCGCTGGCTAATCTATGACTCTGCTCAATCATTGTAAAACCACTCAGCGCTACACAAAGGCGAGTTGTACATTACAGTCATTCATCAATACGCTTTTGAACCAGAATCGATTCTTGAAAATGAATAATTATGCAAAGAAAAGGTGTAAAAACCCCAGAAGTCTGAGTTTTTAAATTCAGACGTCCTCCAACATAAAAAAAAACAGCATCTGGACGGGTTAAACTTTAACAGTAGGACTGCATTCTAAGACATCGGCCCATTCATTCCAGTGAAAGCTGCTCACTGGGTGCACTGGCTGATCAAATGTTGGATTTCATGACTCATAATGTAATTTTCTTTTACATTACACGACACTATATAACCTCCCCTAACAATAAATCAGTGGTTCTCAAACTTGTTGAGCCACGACCCCCAAGACAACATACGTTTGTGTTCAAACAATTTGAATTTTTAATATATCATGAGTAATAACTTTATTGTTCATGCGATAAAAATTAATGTGTTAATTCCACAGATTAATCTCTTTACATTAACATGCTAATTATCTTTTGAATTAATTAATGAATTTAATTTATTTCCAACAAATGAAAGAGGAAAAAATTTACTCGATAAATATTATTAGCAAAAAATCTAGTTATATTATATTAAGGCTCGTTTTTTTCAGCTTTTATTTTTAAAAATAAAGTTTCAAGAAAGTTTGGTTTTTATTTTAGCTTAAAATGGAGTAAAATAAACGACAACTATGCGTTAAAATGAATGTGTTCATTCCACAGATTAATCTCTTTAAATTAACACGCTAATTTTCTTGTGAATTAATTAATGAATTGAATTTATTTCCAACAAATGAAAGGGGGGAAAAATATCTAGTTATATTAAGCCTCATTTTTTTCAGCTTTTATTTTTAAAAATGAAGTTTCAAGAAAGTTTGGTTTGTATTTTAGCTTAAAACGGAGTAAAATAAACGACAACTATGCATTAAAATGAATGTGCTAACCCCAAAGATTAAGGTCTTTACATTAACAAGCTAATTTTATTTTGAACTAATGAATGAATTGAATTCATTTCCAACAAATGAAAGGAAAAAAATATATAAAAACAAAAGAAAATCATTTTAAAAAGAGCATTAAAAAGAATAATAATATAATCAAATCATAATATTAACAAGTCCAAAAAAGAAATGGGAAGAAGTATACACGTAATTTTGACAGCCTGAATACAAATTTGTTTGATATATATAGGCTTTATTTTATTTATTTTTTTCTTTACAATTATCTGGCGACCCCCTGAAAGTATCTTGGGACCCCCATGAGGGCCCCGACCCCCAGTTTGAGAACCACTGCCCTAAATAAGGAGTAGATAGGGAGTTGAAGCTCGTAATCCGTTTTATGCAAATCTATCACAACTATATCACAAATATATAGACGTCAGCTGTTTAATTGATCTTCCATCTTGATATTTGGTTCTCTCTCCAGCTCCACATCAAACACTTTGAGCCTCTGACTGTTTTTCACACTCATTCTGGATCCTCTGATAACATCCGACCATTTTCTGACTCTCCCTGTGGAATGGCATTAAATTATTCGCTGCTCACTGAGCTGTAATATGTTTGGATTCGTTGTTTTGAGGTGAAGCCGTCTCCTGTGTAATTTTATCTCATCTGCATAAATTACCAGTCTTCATGTCTTTATTTGTTATTGTGCTTATTTTTTTTCCCCTTTCTTTCTGTGTTTATTTGAATTATTACCATCACGGTCTCTTACGTCCTCGCAAATTAGCATGAAGCTAATCTGAATAATTGAATTAAAGCTAGACATGGCAGCACAAACCTCACGGTGGATGATAATGGCGATGGGGGTGAGGGGCGGGAGGGTGTCGGTGGTAATGCGCTGATGGAGGAAGAGCTGCGGGAGTGACGGCGAGGGTGAGTTTCTACCTCGAGCGGGGCGGCCTTTGCCTTGCAGGTATCAATTGCAGTCTGATCGGACGCCACTGGGATCTGTGGGAGGAGGGACTGGTTAGTACGTGCCAAGTTATTTCACAGCTCTGCTCTGTTTCAGCACAAATAAAAAACCAAACGCTGACCTTGTGTGCAGCTTCTGGAACCCCATTCCCACAGAAACCATCCACCTTGTTAGATAACAGCTGCATTCAAGAGGTTTTTTTTTTCCCATCATTTGTCATTTACAGCTTGTTATTGGAGCTTCTCCTCAATCCGCCTCCATTTCTTTCACCAACTCCTAAAAGAATTGCCGTGAACTTGTTGCCGTCGTGGCGAGAAAGAGTGATAAAGAGGCAGATTGAAAACAAGCCTTTTGAGAGAACTGCTGCGCGTTGTGCCCTTGAGGCAAAACAAGGCTTCATTGCAAATTAGATAATTGAGTTTTCTGACCCTTTAATAATAAATGTCCCCTTCTCCAATTGTTGAATTCAGCCCTCGGTCTTTCACGCTGAGAGCTGGTGTGTTTACTGTTGCTGCTTTTAAGAATTTAAAATCACCATTTTTTTGCAAACCGGGCTGGAAGTAGCTCAACCTGACAAAGAGCTGCTTCAGCGCCGACACGGCAGCCCGGGGATGTAGATGTCGTCAACACCCAAACATCAATATTTTAAAGCGACGCTGGGTTTTTCTAGCATGGTTCAAGTCATTGTAGCCTGATTTTTTCCTCTCGTTTCACTATATATTTGCTGCTGGCTGTGGCTAAAGTCATTGGTCAGGTTTAGAGTCCAGCACCAGGTTGGTAAAAGTTGTGCAACAAGTGGGCGAAAACACAAAAACACTTATTTATTTAATCAAAAATGAAAGGCTTTGCATGCTGCAGCCTTTTTGACATCGAAATCAGCTAATAATATTAAGCTAAGTCCACTACAAGGGTGTTTTTTAATCTTTTTTTATTGTGAAAGCTCATGACAGCCTCGCTATAATGTGTCCGAATGGGCTCAAAGTCTCAGCATCGAGTGTTAGCAAGTGGATTTTTTTAAAAACGTTTTTCTCGGCTGGATTTGCAATGGTAAATGGTCTGCACTTCTATAGCGCATTTTTCTACCTTAGTGGTACCCAAGGCGCTTTGCAATCACATTCACCCATTCACACACCAATGGTGACAGAGCTGCCATGCACGGCGCTAATCTGCCATTGGGAGTAACTTGGGGTTCGGTGTCTTGCCCAAGGACACTTCGGCATGTGGGGGGGACCATCAGTGGACAACCCGCTCTAACAGCTGAGCCACAGCCGCCCCCTTATTTGTTATTTGTGAATGGAGAACCAACAAGTGCAGCCACTATTTTTGTTCTGCACAGTCGGGCAGTCACTTCAGCTAAGTACCAACCCAGCTGGTGACTGATTCTGGACCCGAGTTCACGCTTCTACATGTTCTAAGTGTGTAAGTAAAGCGAGCACGGCCTCAATCACGGGTCGGGTCATAGGTGGTGTATTAACAGGTTGGGATAAATCTGGATTTACCTCTGAGATAACTGCAGGAAGTGGGTCAGTTTCAGCGCTGAGATGTGCTGAAGTGGACGCGAGCAGGACTCTGCTCAGAGCTGCTATTTTAGAAGCTGGTGGCTGCATCACAATCTGACACCATTCAAATCTTTCGAGGCCCCGAAAGTGTTGGAATACTTGAAATGATTACGAAACTAAAAAGGAGGTTAGCAGACTTTTTCAAAGTGTTTTAAAAGCAACCACGAGCACCTGAAGAGAAAACACTATCCTGGAAGCTATTCTGTTCGTTATTAGAGAGAGCTTTTCAATATCTTTTGTCTTTGTGGGTTCGCTCATAAAGTCGTAAAGCCGTCTGCCTGCTGAATAAATGTTCAGAATCTGAATGTGCTCCACTTCCACTGCGTGTGGCCTCGTTAAAACACCGCTTCTTATTTAAATATCATTTTTAGGAAATCAACAAATCGGTAAAACAGTCGATGTATTAATCGATAGAAAAGTCGTCTTCAGTGGAAGCCCAGACGCTGCGTAATCCGGAGCCTGTGTTGCCGTTATTAGTTCATTAATGATGTTGTCTCGCCTTCGCGGGCAGCAGTGTAGCTCCATTAATGCATGCATGACCTAACTTCTACTGCCTCCACGATGTCTGCGCTGCTATACTGGGTCAGCAGCAGGTCGGCCATCGCGTCTCGGTGCCCTTCTCTGGCTCACCTCGTGGAAACATGGCAGCTGGGTTTGTTTTTATCCAGCTCATGGGAAACGGCAGCAGTAGGGGGGAGGGTGTATTTTTGACAGCAAGTTGTTTTCGTGAATCGAAATAAAGTTTGAAACTGTGACAGAAATCCTGTCGCTCTACAGCTAATTTCCAGCACGTTTTACATCATGGAAGTATCAGTAAAATGGTCACCAATAACAGCCCTGTGCACATGATTCAGTAAATGCATCAACGTGTTTATTAGCATTTACCAAAAACACAATCGATGTGCTTTATTTGCAGAAGCCTGCACCCTGGGGCTAATGTGCAGCTTGTTAATGTCGGGCTTCATTCATTTGAAAAGCCATCAAAAAAATCCAGCACGCAATCACAAAACTCCTTCGTAATATATAAACAATTATTCATGAGGACATTGCTGAAGATGCAGCTTCCCCTTGTTTACAGTCTGAATGCTAAGCTAAGCTAACTGCTCCATAACCAAACAAATGAGAACGACCGGCATTGATCTTCTCATCTAAACAGAAAAAATAGACAATCAGCAGATTTTCCCAGAATGTTGAGCTGTAGTTTAGTCTCTAACTTTGAGTCGATTGGCAGGTCTGCACCGACACAGTCCCGTGGATTCACACCTGGAAGCTGCTGGGTAAGCAGAGCTCAGTGTCTCGCCTTAGGGCGCCTCTGCTTGAAAGTCTGGGCCACAAAAATTCTCCCTGAGTTGATTTAAAGACACATCCACACCGAGCAAGACCGCCTGATTAGACCCGAAACTGGCCTGAAATATGCTGCAAATCCCACAACTCGGTGTATCAATAAGGTTGAAACCAAATAAACCCCCGAAACGCCCAAGGACGCGTCCAGACGACAAACAAAAGCTCAGTATGAACTACGTACATCACATGGAATTTGATTTAGGTTTCAATTCCGCTTTGAGCCACTTTTATACGTGGTCATAAATCAGACACGGGCCTGATTTAGTTTTTATTCTTTGCAGCGTGATCTCATTCTGAACGTCGAAATTCATTTTACGTCCCTCTAGATCGACATTCACACAGTTCTGCGCCAGCTGGAGTCGCTGCATGAGTCCAAAAATAAAAGAAAGCCGCAACTTCTGAATGAAATTGTAAATGCTGACTTTAGTGGTCTTCTTGTTGACGTCCAAACAACAACGTACATAGCGTAATGTCGGATTATTTTGCGCTTTTGGGTCATTTCGGGGCTGTGACTGGTTCCCATTGGACTCTGATATTGGTCACATTTAACGTGAACAGCCAAACAAAAAGATCACATCTGAGAAATAAATCCAAATTAAAAAGGTTTGCATTGTGAACATAGCCGAAGTATTTTATCAGTCTGAGTACTTCCACACTAAAGTAGTTTTTGCAGCAGTTTTCATCCGGTGGTCGGTCTGATCTTTACTCTCTACGGTGGCTTCCCATCAAAAAACACACTAACGGCGCCTCAGAGACGACATCCCACAAAACATCATCCGGCTACGAGTCAGCAAAAAACCAGCCGGAAGCAGACTGTACCTGATAGTCCCGGACATCTCTGTCAGTGAACGTCAAAACGTAGATCATCGCCCGGCCGCCCACGTAGATGGTGTCGCTCCCCTCCTGGTGGTACATGCTGATGTAGTTCTCAGGTTTGCTGAAGTGGAACCTGGAGGGCTCTGAGGATCAGAACAAAAAGGGATGAGCTGGCAGATGAGAGCGTTGCTCGAGCACACTGTTGGTTTTATTGTTAAAATGTAGGTTTTTATTTGTGCAATTAAAATATACCCCGTGGCGACGGAGCGTAAATAATTCAGGTGAACTGAACTCAATTAGATGAATTGTGACAACAAGAGGAAAAGCAACAACAGAAACGATTTCATGAGATGAAGCTGCTGCTGCTGCTGCTGTACTACATAGAATCAGAAGAATGTATTTGTTTTTGTACAAATCAGAGGAAATCAGTGTAAAAAAAAAAAAAGGCAAACTGCTCCAAAAGTAGAGGTCAAACACAAGAACAGAAGGTCAAAGATTCAGAAAGTTATTTAAAAGATGATCCAGATTTAGTCAGACTTAAGCTCCTCAGGCAGGTTGAATCAGAAGTCTGCTGGCAAAGAGCCAAACCTCTGATTTTTTAATCTACATTTAATCTCCCCTCAGTATAGCGACCAGCTTGAGGAGGACTGTCTATAAACTGGTTTTCATTTATCAAAACCACTTGATCCGCCGCCGCTGCCCTTTGTGCTGCCGCGCCGAGCGGAGAGCCTTTACGGGACTCGGAGGGAAAGGGCATCTGGTGGGAGCGTAAATATCACCGAGATAATCATGTGGGCAAATCCCGTCACAGGTTTCTTAGTTAAATTACACTCTGGACACCTCCAGAAGGCTCCGAAAGTACATCTCTGAATCACACGTCCAATCAGGATCACACTTACCTACACTGCAACTGTGCCTGCATTTAGAAATAGACTCAAACCAGCGCTTTTATTTGAAAGATGTGTTTACGTACAGAAAATGTAGGAAAAAAGAGAATCTTAAAAACAGCCATGTTGAATAATGAATGCTATGCATCTAAAAAAAAGACCCCCTAAAAGGTCTCCCAGCCTTTTTATTCACTTCGTCTTTGCTCCAGAAGAAGACGTTTCCATTTATTTTTTTCAGAAAACTTGCGTCCGGTATCAAAACAACAACCTGTTAGGGCTTCTCTGATGAGATTTCCTTCTCATCCTTGAATTACAAAAAAAGACATCTAGCCTGACAGCAACACCAGGATGAAGTGGTGGTGGTGAGTCGTGGGGATACAGGTTGCTAGCCAACCAACTAAGTTTCTATGGAAACAGCGGCCTCTCTTATTGGTGGGAATCTAATTGATGAAGCCTCGCAAGGAAGTGACAAATGCGCAAGGAAGTCCGTTGTGGCTGATGGCCTGGGTAAGAACATATATAAATTAATTTCACCGTCTGACGGTCTTAAGGGGAACATTATGTAGCTGCCAAAGCGCACCAGCAGATTTGTATGAATATTTGCTTTGGCAGAACAGCCTCCCCGAGTATGTCTCTGTTGATTCAGACAACAGAGAGAAGGTTAATCTTCCGTTACACAGACTTACATCACGCTCGAAGAAAATCTGAAACAAACTTGGCTGGTGCTCATAGAAAGAGTTTCACCACTTAAATCCATACAAAGAAGTGTTGACTTTGGTTAAAAGCATGACTTTGACGAACACTTTGCTGCCTTTACTGGACAAGAAACCACCAGTTAAGTTAAGTATTGAGGTCCTATATTTTCAACCAATGCTTCTGTCAACTTTTCACATGTGCTTTCTGTTGACCTACAAGTATGAGAAATCCAAATGACAGGAAAGAGTAAACATGGATGTAAACAAAGCAAGTTTTGCATTTTTTCAAAAAGTCGTCTATGCAAATGTTTTAAAGTCGAAGCATTTTGGCAGAAACACAATCCCCTCTATGAGTAACACTGACTCGAACACTTTGGTTATGAGGCACCTTTAATTCAGCTCCAGGTGTTAGACTAAGCTACCCAACCTGTTTGAATAAGCCCAAACACACAGCAGGAACAGAATGTACAATCATTCAAGGAGGTTATGTTTCATTCAAGGTGGTTATGTTTTAGCCAATGTTTGTTTGTTTGTTTGTTTGTTAGCAAAATAGCTCGAAAAGTTCTGAACGGATTTTCATAAAATTTTCAGGAAATGGTGATAATGGTTCAATAAACAGATGATTACATTTTGGTGATGCTCTGGCTTACAATCTGGTTATTTTCTCATAAAACAGTAAATGCTGTTAAGTGTCACGCAGAATGCTATCGTTGCACCGTTTGTCCACTAGATGGAGCTCTGACTCCGTTCACTCCTTCAGTCCTCACCGCTGTCTTTCTCAGCAGTACAGGAGGAAGCTGCAGCCAGGTGGTATTACAGGAATGGGCTGAGCGGAGCTACTGACAGATAAGACAGTGACTCAGCATGCCTCCAGTTTCACTGTAACTCTCGTTGTCATGACGACTGACGTGTGCTTCGTTGCGTTGGTCATGCTTTTCATTTATGTTGCTAAAGTTGTGCTAACCTTGCTTAAGCCACTCCCCGTCTGTTTATGTTAGCAATAACATGGCTGTAGTTATGCCAACCTAGCATAGCATTAGCTAACAGCTTAAAGCCAGTAAGGAACTGCAGAAATAACATCAGTGTACAAAATATTGTAGAGTACAGAATGACCATTCATCACTCCGTCAGCTTGTTATCAATGATCCATCCATCCATCCATCCATATCCATCCATCCATCATCTCTACACCTTAATCCTCTCTAGGGTCATGGGGGGCTGGAGTCTATCCCAGCTGACTCAGGGTGAAGGCAGGTTCACCTGGACAGGTAACCAGTCTATCACAGGGCCACACTTAGAGACAGACAACCAAGCACACTCACATTCACACCTACGGACAATTTAGAATCACCAATTAACCTCAGCATAGTTTTTGGACTGTGGGAGGAAGCTGGAGAACCTGGAGAGAACCCAGTGACCTTCTTGCTGTGAGGCAACGATGCTAACCACCGAGCCACCTTGCAGCCCGTTATTAATGATATCAATGTTAATTCAAATGCTAAAGCTAAGCTCTGGTTCTCCATTAATCTAACAGTGTAGATGAAATGAATGCAGGACTTTAGCATTGGCTGGAAATCACCATATGGTTGCAATGAGCTGCTTGGTGGAGGTCTGCACTCCAGAGAGCTTTTCTAGTTTTAACCACATTTTTTTCTGTGTCTTACCACAGTTTCTAAAGGGTCACGCAAATACATCTGACATATCACACTGTGGGTGAAATCTGATCTCCAAAACGTTCTCTGCTTCGCCCTCTTCGTGTAAGCATCTGTGTTTCCTTTTTTTGTTTTTCTGCTTAGGCATTTAATCATTGCTACGAGGGGAAAACCTTGAATTTTTAAAAGGTCAGCTTTTCAAGAACCCAGATAAACAACCTTATTTTTGTGTGTGTGGTTTTTAGCTTGTTCTTGAAAAACAAGGCTTCATTAAAATCAGCGATCGGAGACCTTCCTTCCCCTCAGAGGAGCTTGTAATCCTTGAAGTGTAAACATTTTGAAATTAGCGGTTCACTTTCAAAAGATAAAAAAAAAATAAAAAATCCTAATTGCACTAAAAAATGTGCAAATTAAAGACGAGTATGGCACAGATGTTATATCTGGGAGTCGTCTCCACTTGAAAAGCATTCTGAATGTGGTAAAGAAAAGCAGCAAAGTGAAATCATTTAGACGCCTTTGAAGCGTCTCTGATCGTATGACAGCTGCTATTTTACTTGCGCAGAATCTTTTACTGCAAACTTGTTTTTGCAGATGGACCTCAAGGTTTTCCATTATGAACATGACAAGAAAATCTATGAGGCTCTTGGTTCGAAACCATCTTGGTATCGATGCCTCCGACTGAGACAGAAGGTCAACACAAATGAGAGCAGAACTTCGGCAGGCTGTTGTATTATTTTGGATGCGGCTGTATGTGTGGAATTGAGCTGAGCTGCTTTTTTTTTTTTTTCTCTTTCATTCAATCTCTCGGTGTCTTTCTTTGAAATTGTCTTTCCTCTTCCTCTCTCTTATTTTTTTGTTTGTGCTACTTTCTCCATATCTGCCTTTTGATGCCGCCGTCACTCTCAAACAGGCAAATTCAAAGGGAAGGTGTGCGATCGTGATGCACAGTAACTTTCATTTTCTATTCACGACCTAATCCAAATCCTAATCCCAGCGCAGTTAAACAAATGAGAAGAAGCACAAAAGCACGACTTCCTTCTATTTCCATTCTTCGACACATGTGCATATGAGGAAGTTTAACTCATTTTTATTATTAAAGCAGCACTGATCAATATTACACAACGTACATCATCCAGCTCTGCACCTTCCCCTCAGCTCTGTGCAGCTTTTTTAGCATATTCCAACGAGCTGTTTTGGGTTTATGGCCTGCAGTAATACTGTTCTGATTCTGCCTCTCATCACCCTCTGCACTCCAGCCCCCAAATGGAGCCATTTTCTGAGAAAATGCTCCAAACGCCAACTTAACTGTACCTGCCAAGCGGTAAAAGGCGCTCAAAAGTGAGCAACCAGCTGGTCAACATAATGGAGCATTCAGCCGCTCGAGAGTCACTCACGCTTCCAAAGAGCTGGCGACCCAAACGGGGCAAAAAGTAGAGTGAATACCGACGTTAAGTTCATCCAGCCGGTCAGAGACTCCACTGTTATGAATTGTAATGTTTCTCGTGGGGCTGCAGGGTGGATCGGTGGTTAGCACCGTCGCCTCACAGCAAGAAGGTCGCTGGTTTGCGTCCCAGTGAGGACACCCGGGATCTTTCGGCGTGGAGTTTGCATGTTCTCCCCGTGCAGCGTGGGTTCTCTCCTGGTTCTCCGGCTTCCTCCCACATAGTCCAGAAACATGCTGAGGTTAATTGGTGATTCTAAATTGTCCGTAGGTGTGAATGTGAGTGTGCTTGGTTGTCTGTCTCTAAGTGTAGCCCTGTGATAGACTGGTTACCTGTCCAGGTGAACCTGCCTTCACCCTGAGTCAGCTGGGATAGACTCCAGCCCCCCACGACCCCAGTGAGGATTAAGCGGTGTATAGATGATAGATGGATGGATGGATGTTCCTCCTGAACTGCTGGCGTTGACGTCATCAACATTTCAAGGCACCGTTGTTGAATTGGGCCTCAGGTTGTGAATTATGCTGCTTTATTCTGATTTATTTGTCGTTTGACATTCCGAGTCTCTTTCATCGCCGCGAAAAGCACTTTAATTTTTAACTACACCTGAATATGTGGCCATTAAATTCTACCTTAATGGAGCGTATAATGATTGGTATCAATTTATTTAATTTTTTTTTGTTGAGGTTGTTTAACAGAAGTGTTCAGTTTAATGCCCATTTTGAAGCTTGTAGTTTATTGCATGTGTGTATGATCCAAATGGCAGTTTATATGTGTGACGGTAAACACTATAAAACCATTTATTTATTGTATCTGCTCTCATAGTTGTCTGATTGGACTCCTTTCACCTCTCATGCCAAATGAATCCAATGCACTCCCATTCTCTCCAGCGATGACAGCACGTCTCTTCCTACTCCTTGAAGCGAAACCCAATTTTAACCCAAATCCTGAGACCCGGTTGTAGCCTTTAAACAATTCCTTGAAGGTACTAGAAGCTGCCAAATGTCCTCATTTGGCTCAGCTTTTTAGCCAAATGGGGGACATTTTTAGCGTTCCAGTCCCTGGGAGCTGTCCGAGGTGCTGAAACTGAGCCTCTGATGGATCCTCTCTGACAGTTTCCAACCTGTACTTCCTTCTTTGTGTCTGCGTGTGTAGCTTTGTGTGTTTGTGTGTGTGTGTGTGTGTGTGTGTGTGTGTGTGGTGTGTCTGCTCTAACGACAGGCATCAATGGATAACCCTGGAAATTGCATAACAACGAGTTTGATTGATATGACATCCACGTCCGGGGCCGTCATCCTGCGCGTTTTGTACTGTGGCCATCAGCAGGAGAGGGGAGGGATACAGATACAGATAACTTGGCACACAGCCCCCCATCTCTATTGATTGCTGAATACATTAGAGGACTGTGTGAGGTGTAAAAAGACGTGAGTGGAATAGATAATAGCAGACGGCTTGGAATTTTCCATCCACCGCTCTCCCTTCCTTATTCTCTCCCCCTCTCTCTCTCTTATTCTCTCCCTGTCTCTGTGCCTTTCTGTCTATTTGCACATGTAAATATATATAAATATATATACACGGCGGGTGTTACAGTAAAAGCTGCCCTCTCTCCTCCTCTGAGCCTTTGCTGCAGTGTGAAGCAGCTGCTCTTGTCCCGCATTGCAGCTCCGCAAGGACGCGGGAGGCTACAGTGGCCGTGTCAACCTCCAAAAAGTCATATTTCACTGTAATAATGGCTTCTTTCTTTTTTTTCTTGGTGTTTAAAGGGGTACGGCCTGGCGGTGTGTTCGGGGGCGTACATAAAGGCGCCATGTTCACCCCCACCACCTCTCCTCCAGGCACACGAGAGGTTGCTTTTAAGCGCGTCTGGGTGTTTTTTTCTTTTTTTTTTAATCTTCCGCTCGGTGCGCCTGAACGCCGTGGAGATACGGAGGGACGGTCACTAATTAGAGTTGGTGTGACCTAGAGACGAACCCGCAGGGAACTTGAAGAGAGCTGAGATGGAAGCTAACGCACAACTTGTCAGAGAGAGAGAAAAAAAAAACCGAAAAGCCACAAGTTGTACGAATTAAGCCAATTTAGCCAAATTGGACGGCGCCAGTGTGCGCAGAATCCTGGGAATGCGTGAAGAAGCTGGCGAAGAAAACAGCAAATGAGTGCGTTTTTAGTGTCAACGCTAAGATTATATTGTAGAATTGGTTTTCCTCCAGATGCTGATCCTGTTAGAGCCCGTGGACATGTGTGCGGGGCCTGAATGGTGGAGCGCGTAATTTACTACTCGGTCAGCGGGGGGAGGGCGGTGTTTTAGAGAGATGAATCCAGAGGCAGCCCCATCATTTAGGCTTCAAATCTACTATTTATGCAGCTTTTTTTCCCCTCTCTCTCTCTCTCTTTCCCTCTCTTCAAATGACAACAGTAAATGAGAAAAAAACTGGACAATAAATGGATGCCTCACCCCATGACTGAACTCATTCACTCACTCATCCATCCGTCCGTCTCTCCAAACCTTCACCCTTTCATTCATCCGCTGCCACACACAACACACAAACATGATGGTGATGAAAACATCCCGTGAATGAGCGGCTGAATGGAAGGAAAAAAAAAAAAAAAAAGAAAGATGATATTGGGAAGAATACAGCAGCTTCCTACCGTGCACAACAAATTTCAGCCGAGGTGACTTTCCGGCGATAATCGTAGCGAAAAGCGACAGCAGGATGAAAGAATTCATCTTTTTTTCTCCTCTCGTGATGCTGCTGTGGAGTAGAAAAAAATTAAACCGTGCAAAGCCCCCCAAATCCTTCTTCTTCTCCTTCTTCTTCTTCCTCTTGTTCCTCCGTGCAGCCGCCTGTATGTTCCCTCCCCGATCTGCTGCTGCTGCTGCTGCTGCTGCTGCGTCCCAGAGCTGTGCCAACGACTGCTGCTCCTGGTCCTCTCTTGTCCGTCTGCTCCGCCGGCAGTTCAGTTTGGTAAAGTCGGGGTATCAGGCTCCACCTCGGAAACAAAAGGCAAAAAAAAAAAAAAAAGAAGAAGAAGAAGAAGGGGGGAGTGTTGCCTTTTTTTCCAACAGGGGCGCAGGGATGGAAAAAGTGGGACTGCAAAAAAAAAAACGAGAGTATAAACACACTGGTTGTTAATCACAGGAGTATTACACGTCATACCTGTTGCTGATAAAGATGATTTTGCACCATTTAAAAACATATCATGCACATCTTTTTTTTAAATCATCTCTTTCAGATCCCACCTTTTATCCTCATGCATAAGCTGCCAAATGCATTTGTAATTTCTCACCTATGATGCATTTTTCCCTCATGGCCATTTCATGTTTGCACACCAGCAGCCCATAATGATATTGCCTCAGCAAAGTGCCTCTACTGTAATGTCTAATCAATATGTGTCAATAGTGCCAGAGTGTCTGAATAGGAATGAATCAGCACTTCGACTCTGCTGTGCTTGCATTTGCGAAGTTAATTGACTTGAAATTTGAATAACTGCGCCGCTCCGAATGCCGAAACGCCCGTTCAGCCACACAGATGTGTCATTTTTCACCAAATTGCGCCCCGTAGGCGCCATCCAAAGCATCATCTGGGCTTCTGTGAGTAATTTCTATGAGCGGCGGAGCTCCTTGCAGGGGGAGGGGGGGAGGTTTGGGATCAGCAGGAGGCCATACTGACGAACACAGGAGAGGCATTCCTGTTTTTTTTCTCTGCTCATAATGAGACACACAGGTGGATCCTCGGAAAAGAAACAAGCCTGTCGAATCCCAGCCACTATAGGGGGGCAATTTCTCTTTTTAAACTTCTTTTCAAAAGCCCTAATTGTCTCTCAGTGTTGCCCCCTTAAATCAGGAGCTTTGAGGCTGTATAACCCCTCGCTGACTGAGCTCTGCAGGCATTCAGGGTGAGCTATTAACTTCAGTCATTACCGGGAGAAAAGGCTGAAAAGGAGATTCTGATGAGTGATGAGCAGCCAGATAAGTGTCGCACAATGACGGATGAACACATGCATGTTTACGGGTAGAAAACAGATTGATTGTGCAGCGTAGGCCCAGTGTTCTGCTGTCTTTAGTTTATTCTTTGAATTTTACACGCTTGGTCTTTTGATTTTTTTGCAAACTTCTTGCTGTAACACTTCACAACGTGTCCGATTCACCTGGATCGCAGTTAAATAATGACTATTTTTAGTTGATCTTATCGATTTCCTCCCACTTGGTGAACAGCGGTCCGTAACTATTCAACTCGTGATGAAGCCTTTATGAGTCTGTTTTTACAAATGACTTCACTCCACAGTCGTATTATTTTTTATCAGTGCATTTTTTTCCAACCACTAGATGGCAGCAAAAGCAGGGTTTTCAGCCCAAGTTCCATTACTCCAGTCTAATGATTTTGCCTCCTGAATAATTGCAACGAGGATGTTCTGTCTCCTTCAGCAGCTCACTGCACTGATTAGCTGTCGCCGATAAATGATTCATCGGCGAGATCCTTTGGTGAGCCTCTTGCCTTTTTAGGAGACTCACTCGAGTAACCTGCAACGCTGATCAATATTCGTTCTTTAGTTTTCTCCCACAACGGACAAGACGGGGAAACAAATCTGGAAACGGGGCTGTGTGGATGTTATATAGATGTTCCAAATCAACAAAATGGGTTTCAGTGCAAGAAGCTGTATGTTTAGGATTATAAGAAATAAAAAAAAAAGATAGTGAAACAGTAACATGACTGGAAAATGTTATGTGCATATGAAAGAGTACATCTATAAAGTGGGAAGGAATGTTAATAAGTGAGTGTACACTGTGTTGGTGCACATGTGCATGCAGCCAGAGGAGCACCCCGTCGACTTTACAATTCATTTTCAGTCTTTCCTCTTTCCTTTTGTTTCCAAGTGACTCAGGCTAAAGCCATTAGACAATCATTACCGACCGCCGTTTGATTACAAAACACTTAAGGATAATTGAGGCAAATTGGTATATGCTTGTTAAATGTAATGAATCGATTTAATTTGTGGTTTCAGCGCTGCTTAGCAGTGGTTTTACGTTAAATCGTGATTATGAATTCTCTTTGTTGCAAATGTGCTTTTAGTTTAATTATCTCCAAATCACGGTGACGAGGGAACGTGGCGTGCAGTTTAAACATTCCAGATACTGATCGTTTCATTAGGCTGAAGAACGTCAAAACAACGGCGCGGCAACGTCCGTCAGGCCGCTGTTTTGCTCCAGAATGAAATATATGGAAAGTCACCGCCGTGAAATGTGATACAAATCTGGATACCGTCAGGAGGATTAAGCCGAAAATCTCCCGTGATTCCCCGACTTGACACTTTCCTCTGTAATGCCGTCAAAATTTGCACTTGCAGTTGCAGCGAGCTCGGGGCAAAACCTGGAAATGGCACAAAATGAATTGTCTTCACCAGGCGTGAAGGAGCGGTTGACAAACAGCGGCAGGAGCAGTGACTAAACTGTCAGCTGGTTTCTTTTCTTAGTCGGTATATGAAGACGTAAACGTCCAAAACAATCCCCGGAAATAAACCGCAAGTCTGTTTAACTAAATAACTAAAGGAAATGAAAGAAAACACCGCCTGCCCCTAAAGTCCAGACAGTATCCAAGAACTTAATCCACATACCAGACCAAAGGCCTTATATTACATCAGAAAGTACATTTAAATCAGTCCCGTCTCCTGGAAACGATGATTATATGCAACAGCAAATATTCTTTAAAGCAAACACAACGCTGGCTGGCTTTCATTTTCCATTAAAGTCAGTCTCCGCTCATTGATTAATCCCCTAAAAATTCATTTCTGTTCATCAAAATTACATATTTAGAAGCTTCTTTTCCATGAACATAATCCCTGACTGCTGCACGGTGGCTCAAATGTAACTCGACTCTGTTGCTTCCTCCAGAATGTGCAGGTTTTTAAAGCCCCCCGTGCCTCTTTGACCCCTCGGCCCTCCACCTACAACTCAAACACTGCAAAGCTACACGATGGCGAGTGGTGATATTGGAATAGTTTGAACCGGAAATTGAATCTAAAGCAGAACCAGACATGGAAATCCTGAGTCCTCCATCTGCCGGGACTGGTTCTTTACGTTTGGTATGTATAAAACCCTGGTAATCTGAATTTGTGTTTTGGAGACTGGCGTGCTGCAGCTTCAAGAAACAACATGCGGTTATGTTAATCAGGATAAAAACTTAGATTTTCGACAGAGGGGGAGTTTAAAAGGACAAGGGAATGTCAGTAATTGACACAAGTTGCAGAAATGTTCATACTGAGTCATTATTCGATAAGTATTTTCCTTTTCATCAGCCAGAATATCCGATCCATCCGTCCATCATCTATACATCGCTTAATCCTCACTAGGGTCATGGGGGGCTGGAGTCTATCCCAGCTGACTCAGGGTGAAGGCAGGTTCACCTGGACAGGTAACCAGTCTATCACAGGGCTACACTTAGAGACAGACAACCAAGCACACTCACATTCACACCTACGGACAATTTAGAATCACCAATTAACCTCAGCATGTCTTTGGACTGTGGGAGGAAGCTGGAGAACCCGGAGAGAAAGATCCCGACCTTTTTGGTCCACCTTGTAACCCCAAAATATCCGACCTTGCTGTACAATATCTGCTCCAGTTGTTGTGTTCATGCTCATTTTAGTTAAGAAAGATTGTTGTGTGTTTCCTAAAGAGAAAGAAAAAGTGCTTCATTTGTTCTGAGAAATGTTTCCTCGGATCATAATCTAGGTTGCAAGAATATTTGGCACCACGCTGTAATTGAGAAATTAATAAACATGTCATTTTTAAGATCCACAGCTCTGTGATGAAATATCCAAAACCTGCTGAGGATCCTTCCTCGTCCATCCGTCTGATAAAGGCCTTTTCTTCTGGCGCCACGCTGGAAGTCACATTGTTTCTGCTTGTTCATCCCTCCGACGTCTTCCAGTGTGTAATCAACATAACAGCCTCAAAGTGCCTGATCACATTAGAAATTCAGATTCCTTGTTCAAACAGGAGTGCCTGCTGTCTGTCTAAAGTCTCCCCCCTCCTCTATAGAAGCTCTACGAGGGGATTGTTCTGACTTAACACGTAGAGTTGTGCTCGGTTTATTGTCACAGTAATTCAGCCAGATGAATCTTCGCTCTTCTCTCTCATCTGTTCAAGGACCTCTCGTCTCCTCGCTGAAGGGCTGCAGAGACCACTTTGGTCCAGACTAGGACGACTCAAACCGAGTCAAAACCAGACTAAACTGTGTTTGAGACAGTCAAGGCCGGCAGGCAGACTCAACGGGGGAAAAAATCAAAAACTAAATAGACTTTTTACTTGTTCCTCCAAAGCTTTGGTCTTTTAATGTGGATGCATATGAATATTCAGCCTGCTGGTAGTTGCTTGTAATTCAGGTGATCTAATCGTTTAAACGCATTCAGCCTGCATAACAGTGTCATGTTGTGAACAAAAGCTCCCGTCTTCACCGTCAAATTTCCCCAAAACATTCAGAGAAACAGCCTGAAATTGACCTAACGGCAGATGTGAAGAGACCATAATGTTCTCGCTGGTGTGTGTGTGCATGCCAGTCATCGGGTGGAGGGGAGTGGCTTATAAACACCACTTTAATCTGCCCCTTTGGCTTTCCGTCCAATGGGAGCAAATACTTGTATTAAAATAGATAATATGACAGGCCAAGCTGGGAGGGAGGATAGCACCCGCCAGACAGACCTATATAACAGATTGAGACATGCAGAGGTAATCCAAAAGGGTTTTAAATCTCTACTCATACACGTGATTATCATTTTTTTTTTCTTTTTTTTTCTGGGTTATTCTGGGCAACTGCATGAGACGGACGAAATTATTTACTGTCCAGTGATTTCAGCCAGAGCGCTGCAAGTCTCTAAACTGTGCTACAGCGAAAGGCGGGTAATTCATCGGTTAACATTTATCTTATCACTCTCGAGTGCGATATTCTGGTTTTAACGGCGAGTCAGCACTGAAGGATGGTGAGCTAAGGAGACAGAAAATGCCAGTAAACGTCTCGGGAGATTCATCGGTGGAGGTGCACCGCGCTGAGAGAAAACAGGCACCACATACAATCCTTCGTCTTGACAAAAAGAAAGAAGACGGATGCACATTTGTGTGGCTGGCTGCCAGCTGTAGCTTTGTTGTCTTGCAAAAGGGGGCAACAAGGCCACTTTCTGTCTCAAATTGAAACACACAATGGACTCACGGAGATTAAACGCGTTTGCTTATGCAAGAAAGTGCGTCGTTCTCTTGCCAGTTTTCCAACAATGGAGTCATTTCCGACCAAGATCCACGGAGAGATTGGTTTACGGATGATTAGATTTGTTCCTCTTTTTTTTTTTTCTAATTTGATAACATTCCAAGAAAACAATTCAAGGAATTGTACACGAGGCAGGTTTACATATCGGCATTTAATGACATAAAATGAAAAAAAAAAATCATTTACAAGATTGCAAATAACAAACGAGTCAGTGGTGTACGTGTGCATCATTTACATCCTCCTCTCCTGGCGATATGAAGCGTTGCTTTGTGCGTAGTGCATCTACACAGCTAAGTTTACACGCAACAAGAGTGCCGTGTTTGAGTGACACTAATCCCCAGAACTAGATAAAATGATAGAATAAACCGAGCACACACACTCAAACGCCCTTGACCTAAATATTTACAAGGTAGCATTGATCAGGTGAGCATTCTCTCTGTCGATGGTGAGAGTGTTTACCGAGGCACATGTTGTTCAGTGTGTTGTGTGAATATAAAAAAAAAAGAGAAATCATAGCATCTTCTGACACAGCAAAGAGTAAAGTAATCGTATAGTAAGTTAAGAAAAGAAAGATCAGACGGATCTGTTTTAAAGTATGAAATGGGAGAGCATACATTCCTATGTACATTATGGGTAACTATCAGTCCCTTTACACTGCTACGTTTAAAGTAAGTAGTACTCACAACAAAACAAAAAAAACCACATTTCCAGTGCCTCAAAACATACTACAAAGCTCTAAAATATCCAAACTTTTAACCGTTAAGTTGAGAAATTATTTGGCTAATCTATTCCAAATCTTTATTGCACATGTCAAAAGCTTTATAGTCACATATTCACATTGAAGAGTCCAACGACCGGTCCGGAACCGACAGTCTTCAAGCAGAAACAGCAAAGGGCAAATGTTTACTTGGCTTGTATTGGCAAGTGAAGACAAATGTGGATGATCAAACAAGCACCGGGTCTGTCTTGAAAGTGTGATAACTGTGTCGAATTCAAACTGTCTTCATGTGTTAAATCTGTGACAATTAAAACAGGTTTATAATTACATGCTACATTAAAAAAAAGTCACCTGCGTTAGGTAAGTGTTTGCTTATTAAAAGTACAAGTGGTCGAGAACAAACGCACAGTCGATCGTGAGAGACAACTCTGCCCACAATCTGTTAACATCTTTCTATTCCGGGATCATGAGAAATTCATTAGTTGGACAACACGGCCAAGTGGTTGCTGAGATGTAACTTTCGGCTCTAAAATTAGAAGAGGACTGGCACAAGTGCAACAAACTGGCTCTGATTTGACTTCTAAAGGGGCCTTTGAACAGAGGTCTCCGTCTCTCTGTGTCCCAGTGGAAGTCCATAGTGCAGAGGAGCTCAATATGAAGACCCCCTTTTACCTTTTCACTGACTTTAAATCAGTTTCATGGTAAACCTGCCACCATCGCCTCCGTCCCCTCCTCCTCCGCCCATGGAAGACCGAGGAACAAAGTCAATAGTTGCTGTGTGCTTGATCTGACCTTTGCTCTGGCTCCAGAAAAACATGAAGACAAAACAGATGGCCACCGAGCTGAGGAAAGACAGGAAGCCCATGGTGGTGGCGATGATTAGGGTCTTTGCATCAAACGGGTATGGCTTGGCCATTTGAGCTGAGGAGTTGGCAGCTTGGGAATTGGAAGGCTCTACCCAGCCCTCCTCTGTGAAGAAAGGGATGGTTCGGTTACGCGGGAGGCCCTTCACATACAAGCCAACAGTCAGGCTGTCGTTACCAGCTGCATTGCCGGCCAGGCACTGGTATGTGCCGCTGTCCTGAACTTGGGCAAAACGCACTTCTAGAGTCCCATTTGGTAAAACTCTGATCCTTCCTGTTGGAGAAACCACATTCTTATGGGATGAAATCCAGGAGATAGATGGGGATGGATCCCCATCGGCCTTGCAGGAAAAAAGAACCGTAGTGCCCTCCTCTACTCTTGCCTCCTGCGGCCTGCGGTCCATGATGCGAGCAGGGCGGCAGGTGAACAGCTTTGGGAGTTCCTTCTCTGAGAAGTCTCTGAATTCACGCTGCCTCACCGCATCAGGAGAGGAACAAGTAGGTTGATGTCCATCAAAGTTCAAGCGCAATCTGCGACGAACCACCCAGAGAAGTCGACAGTCACATGCTAGGGGATTCCCATCTAACCGCAACACCTGAAGGTTCCCCACAGAGTGGAAGGCGCTCTCCTCCAAAGTCGTGAGCTGATTGGACGTCACATTGAGCATACGAAAGTAGGCCAATCCCCTGAAGGCTCCCGGCTCTATTCGTAGCAGGCTCCCCCCTGCTAGGTGTAACTCCTGGAGTCTCAGTAGGTCCCCTAACAGGTTACCTTGGATAACAGTGATGGGGTTGTAGGACAGGTCTAGGAAGCGTAGATACACCAAGTGACGAAGTGCTGAGTAAGGAACTGCGCTAAGGTTGCAACTACTAATGACAAGCGAAGTCAAATTGAGACCAATTAGGCTGTTGCCAGCCATAGTGTCCAGTGCTGGCCAGTTTGTGATCAGGAGGCTGCGCAGACGGTGGAGCCGTCTGAAAGCATTGTTGGGCAGGGTAGAAATGGTGAGGCGTTGCATGCGTAGACGTGTCAGACTCTGGAGCTGGGACAATGCCTCAGTGGGAATGGAGGTCAGGTTGCTGCGATCTATATTGAGCTCCTGCAGATTCTGCAGACCAAAGAAAGCCCGCTGGGAAATGAAGACCAAGTCATTCTCCCCAGCCTCCAGTGTTTGCAGGTTTACCATTTCTTTAAAGGTGTAGTCCAGGAAAACCAGAATCTCATTCTGGCTCAAATCCAAAAAACGCAGACCGGACAGACCGGAAAACACCCCAACTGGGATGATCTTGAGACGGTTATTCTTAATCCGAAGTGTCCTGAGACTCTGTAGGCCCTGGAAAGCCTCTACCTCAATCATAGAGATTATGTTATCACTGAGGTCCAACTCTTGAAGTTGCAGGAGGCCAGAGAACTGGCGGCGTCCCACAGTCTTAATCTTATTGTAGGATAAATCCAAACGTCTGGCATCACTGGAAAAGCCCTCTGGCACTGAATTTAAATGTTTGCCAGAGCAGATGACTTCTTTAGCCTCCGGTCGACACAGACAGCGTGGAGGACAGCCTCCTGCAGATACGCCGAGTCCAAACTGGAGCAAGATACTCAACGCCCCCCATCGAACAACTGACTCCACAAACATCTTACCCCCTGCCTGAAAAGAGACAAAAAACAGTGATTTAAACATTTAACAAGATGCCGTTGCATAGACAGTTGTTTTTCAAAACCAAGTATAAGCTCGTGTGAAGACGTACCGTTTCAGTCTTGGAGTGCAGATTTTCATAACCAGTGGCAGTCAAGTTGGGATCAGACTTGAGTTAAGCCCTCTGTAGAGATGTTTTTCTGTCAATAGCATGCCCTTTAGAGTGGCCTGGACAGAACAGAGAGACACAAAAACAATCCTTATCAAACTGATGAAAAGTATGCCTTTAAGGGCAGAGTTTAATTTGACATCCCGAATAATGACTCAAGCTATTTACCCACAACACTACACTGATTCAGAGTTACGTTCATAAGTTTGAGCTTTTCCTGAAATAGACATAACAACTATTAACCCCGTCCGTCCAGCTCGTCAGCTTGGTGTTCTTACTAATGGAAGACAAGGAGGAACCAGATGGAATCAGCACAAACACAACTTTCTAAGCAGGCTGTCCTGTCTCGGGTGTTAAATGATTTATTTTGTAGCAGCTGGTTACATGCAGAGAAGTGAAAGGGGCTACCAAAGTGGATCTTAAATGAAGGGAGGACAAACTTTTGCTAATCTTTTGAGCTTGTTCTTTGTTTTGTGAGGATTATAGCACTTGGCAGCGTACTAAATCAGTCCACCCCCAAAAGGCCAAGACAACGAAATGGCGACATAATTTCCAATCCTGACAACGGCTAAGTCCCGGCATTAACATTTGATATTAGGAACGAAACAAAAAAAAAAAAAAAAAAGTGCGCATTCGGGTAGCAGAGTGCATCCAATGTGAAGCAGATGTTGCAGCTGATGAGACTAGCCTACATCTCTGTATCACATACAACAAAATCCCTACTTAACTGATTAGAAAAGAATACATCTCGCTTTCTGTTCGGGACATTTTATCCTCCGAAAGACTGTGGAAGGACCATTAACAACACTTAACACCCTGGGAGCATCCGCATATGATGTGCCCTAAAAAAAAAAGTATTAGTGCGCCCGGGCCACATGCGCGACGCCTCTGACGGTGCAGATGAGGCCTCATTGGGATGAGAGCTCTGCCCCCTGGGCCAGCCATCTGGAGTTAAGGCCCGCTAACTGGAGTCTGAGCCAGCAACAGGGTGACGGTGGTGACAGATTTTCAAATCACAAAAAGGCAACTCAAAGTAAAGACAGGCATGTATGTGATGGTAGGGACAGAACTTTAGCTCTAAATAAGTCATGTTCATTACATTTACATTAGTTTGGTGAAGTTCCATAATTTATAATAGCATAGGGTTGTAGCTGTATTGGGTCATTAGTTAGGTTATTTTCTATAATTAATAACATTGTTCAATCTCAGCCTTAATATTTAAGTAGTATTTTGTATTATGTTTGTCAGGTTGTATCCCTCATATGTGAATAACTCATGTTTAATCACCACCATAGGCTCCTGACACCAATCTTTACACTTGTGAAGTTACTTTCCTAACGCCGGTCCTAATCCTTTCTAGTGAAGGACACTCAACCGCTGTTGTCTTGAATGTGCTATATATATATTTAATATATATATAAAATAGCTTGACTTGACTTTACAGTTTTTATCTTGCTATAGTGAATACTGAGGATCATACTTTGCACTTTGTAATTTGGTTTCAGAAGGTGCTATCCAAATAGCATTGTTGTATTTTATTTAAATGTTATTCTTCCTGAAGTTTCATCAGTTTTTTCTCCTGTTAGAGGGTAAAATCTGCTTTTTTTTCTTATTCAAATCAGGGGTTGGGTGTTTTGTTTTTGTTTTTTTTTGTTTTTTTGCTTATTGCAAATATTTTAAAGACAGATTTGTATTTGGGGCTACTTACTGCAAGTCACAGCTTTAATTTCTTTCATTTTTTTTTTTTTTTTAAATTGTCATTATTTGTGTTTATGTGCTAAACACAGTGTTATAAAACAATGACCCTGCAAAAGCAATTCTTTAATAGCAGTTGTTTTTCTTTTTTTTTTTTTTTTAGAAAATATTCAGTTTCCTAAATCCAAAACAGCAACAAAATAAAAATAAAAATCTAGATATTTAAGTTTTCTGAATTTGTTTTTAGATAACAACACTGCTCCAAAGTAAAGCAGGTTTGCAGAATGATTCCTCTAATTACGAACGGTTTTATAAAAATGCTGGCTCAGCCACAGTTTTATGTTTTAGAGTGAAATTCAGTAATAATGACTTTAATCATGTCCAATTACAACATACAGTCACCACATTTATTCAGTAGTACTACAAATCTGAAATAGTCAGTGGTGTTTTATGTCATCTCTTGTTAATTTAATTTCCTAAAATGTAAATAACATGTAAAATCACACCATAAATAACTCTGTGACGTCTTACGCATATTACTTTAACTACAAATACTGAAACTTTTTCTTAGGTTAATTAAAAACTGTAGTTTCAACTGGGCTTTTAAAAAGAAAACCTTTGCCTTGACTTGATTTAAATCATGAAGGTGGATCAAAATGAACAGCAGTGTCATGTCTTGAAGAGAAAAACAAACTGTTGAGGTCTGAAAAAGAGACGAAACCCTGCATGTGGAAATATTACATAATTACATTATTCTGTCGCTGTCGGGCCGCGCCGGTTGAATAAAACAAGTGCTGGGAAAGAATGTGCTGTAAATTATGTATTTCCTCTCCAACAGCCACCGCTGAGCTGGGACCTGCTACGTGCAGCAAAGCCAACAACCCAAAAAAGAAAAACACCCAACTCTAATTCCTGACATGGCACGATGTCCCACCGCCGCCGCTTCACGGGAACCTTGAACCGCATTCACAAAGTTTCCTTTCGTAACAAACCGACGATAACACAGACGCTCCAGAAATACAATCCGAATACTTAAAAATACCAAAGTGAGTCCAACCTGCAGCAGTTGCAGCTTCTCACTCTTCACCATCAGACGGTTTCCAGAGACCCACCCTCGCCGCAGCCTCTCCTCTGAGTGGCAGCGCTGCCAACAGTCCCAGAGCTGCTCGGTCTTTGTCTCATCCCTGTTCTTCATGCAAACAGCTCTTATACCGGCTGGCTGGCTGGGAGCGCTGACTCACAACCCAACACTTGTGCTTTTAGACTCCCAGGGACTTATGTTAGACCGATATATCAGAGTGCAGACACTCAAAACAGATACCAGAACTCGCCTTGTTTTTTTTATTACATCTTGGGCTTCAGCCAGTTAAAATTGGTCAGGGGCCAGTTTTTATTGAGCACACTGATGCTTTTTATTCATGTTTGTGTTTTAGTTACACTTGGTTTAAAGATTTGACTTTTGACCTTTTATTATTGAGTTTTTCTAACATAGTGAAGAACTTTATGATTGTTAAAAATTAAATTCCTCCTGGAATCGAGTGAGTTTTATCTTCCCGTGATAGCGACACTGCTTCTTCTCTCCTCCTCCTCATGCAAACATCAACTAAACATTGGCTTTTTTAGAACCTGTATCAGTCTCTGTAGCACACGGGTGAGGTTTCACAATTCGAATGCGTTGACCCTCTTCCTCTTCCTCCTCCTCCTCGTCCCCTGAGCTAAGTTGTCAGAGACACAGACTGGCAGGTGTGCGATATCTCCGGCTGGTCGGCTGTCAGTTGCTGAGCCCTTTGAGCCAATCAGGGACCGGGATCGCTCCTCCTCCACATCTCCGCGCACACCATAAAGCCGGAGTCCAGCCAAAGGTCGCGACCTCCGAGTCGCGGCCAGGACCGACCCCATCCGTCAAATTAGAAAGAAGCGAAGCGGGGGAGGGAATAAAAGCGTCGGCGATATCGTCGTCTATTTCTCGCCCTGCTCGGAGCGCCGTCACATGAGTGTCACGTTACGGCGTTAATTACCCTAACTATTTTCTATTACGCACGGCCGCTCGTTGGTTCCATTAGTGTTTCAAATTAGACAGTCGCTTAAGGAGCTGCTGTTGTGAGACGCTGACACACACGGAGGACTGAAAACACCTCACGGGGGCGACGCCGAGGGGGAACATGATCCAGACCTGCTGCATGTCTAATGAACACTATTTTAATAACCGTAATGTTTTTAGGAGTTGAGTGGTGCACACCTATTTCCAGGAAACTACCCTGAATTCGCATGGGAATTAGTTTCCACAACACTTCTTTGCATACCGAGCTCCTCAGATGTGAACCCTATAAATTACTGGAGCATCCTAGCTTCTAGTAACAATCAAACCCCCTCCTCTTGTACGTCCTCCAGTCGTTTCCTAGAAGGCTTTTCCTGTTTAATTCAATTTAATAATGCTCTTTGATCACACAGAGAAGTCCTTTCATCCCGTTGTTCTGCCCGGATACCGCCGAGCCCTAAACTCGTGCTGCAATTTGTTGTTCTCGCGAAAACCTTTTTTGCGTAAAATATCCACTTTCCTTAAGCCGGGCGGAGGCCAGCCCTCACCCAATAAACCCTCGCGACGCCCAAATGAAAAACAAAGCCAACGGGACTCGAAGCCAAACTTCCCTTCAGACGAGCCTCTGGCAGAGTCCAGCCGGCGTTTGGGCGGCTTCCCGCTGTCGCATAATTGTTTGAAATAATTCAGCTTCCCCAGTTTGCCCTCTCTCCGCTCTGTCATCACACGAAACTCATCAAGCCTCTCAGCCCGGGCCCTTATCGCCTTACATCAATCTGTGGCCAGTTGCCACCACATGTTAAAATTAGGACTTTCTTCGCCGGCTGAACACAGCTGCACATTTAGTAATTATTTGGCCCTACGGAGCTGCTTTCTGCTTCCCCCCGATGCTTATAATGATCGAATTACCAGCGAAATTAAAAACAATCACGGCACCAATTCGCTGGGCACCGTGTCATCAGTGTTTCTTGGCATGAAGGACGCCCGCTCGAGTGTTTTCATCGGCTCGCGCGGTGTTTGCTCGTTGTTGATACTTGTCATAAATGCTCGACTCAGCAACTCCAGCTCCTCCGTTATTCACATGATCACTTCTGCCCG